GTGGTTTAAGAGGACATTACACTACTCACACCCTATCAGGTTCTTTATGCTGACAAAGATCAGATAGAAAAAGATCTCTCGACTGACACAAAGGTAACTCTTTCCAAACACTCAAGATGTGAAATGTATCCAGGGATGTGTTCTCAGTGTCTCATCACTTGCAAATGACCTGACAAAATGTGTGATAACCGTACTATTGACACTGATCTTGGCAGAGATGACCTCCAAATTGTCTCACTTGTCAACACCCTGGGTTGCTAATATGATGTGGAAGTAGGAAAAGGGTATGTGTGATAAAGAATACATAGATCAAGAAAACCCAATATCTTGCGCTGTGGAGCATTTATGATGGTTGTCAATGTGTCTGCCCACTATTATTGACACAAATCTTAACCTCACCGGCAATAAACTATCTGCTGTTGTATTCTGGTGTTATCAGTGGTGTAGTCAAGTAGCCCAGGTTGGCCATGTTTGCACACCCGGCTCAGAAGTTGGGGTGTACGTGGTTACATGGTGGAGCTCCTTCAGGCAAGGAAGTTAAGCGTTGGTGGATACTAAGAATGGGATATGTAGGTGTGTAGCTTTTGTAGCGACTTGTTTATTTGGATTCTTTCACAATTCGTAAAGGCGAAAATGTGTGGATGGTTATGACAAGAGTAGGAGGGATTTGTTGTTTGTTGGAGAAATATGTGTTGATTGGATAGGTTGGTTGAAGGGCAGATGGATGGACAGGTGAATGGGTTGAAGGGCGGATGGATGGACAGGTGAATGGGTTGAAGGGCGGATGGATGGACAGGTGAATGGGTTGAAGGGCGGATGGATAGACAGGTGAATGGGTTGAAGGGTGAATGGATGGACAGGTGAATGGGTTGAAGGGAGGATGGATGGACAGGTGAATGGGTTGAAGGGCGGATGGATGGACAGAAGGGCGGATGGATGGACAGGTGAATGGGTTGAAGGGCAGATGGATGGACAGGTGAATGGGTTGAAATGTGGATGGATGGACAGGTGAATGGGTTGAAATGCGGATGGATGGACAGGTGAATGGGTTGAAATGCGGATGGATGGACAGGTGAATGGGTTGAAGTGCGAATTGATGGACAGGTGAATGGGTTGAAGGGAGGATGGATGGACAGGTGAATGGGTTGAAGGGCGGATGGATGGACAGAAGGGCGGATGGATGGACAGGTGAATGGGTTGAAATGTGGATGGATGGACAGGTGAATGGGTTGAAATGCGGTGGATGGACAGGTGAATGGGTTGAAATGCGGATGGATGGACAGGTGAATGGGTTGAAGTGCGAATTGATGGACAGGTGAATGGGTTGAAGGGTGAATGGGTTGAAGGGCGGATGGATGGACAGGGGAATGGGTTGAAGGGTGAATGGGTTGAAGGGCGGATGGATGGACAGGTGAATGGGTTGAAGGGCGGATGGATAGACAGGTGAATGGGTTGAAGGGTGAATGGATGGACAGGTGAATGGGTTGAAGGGAGGATGGATGGACAGGTGAATGGGTTGAAGTGCAGATGGATGGACAGGTGAATGGGTTGAAGGGCGGATGGATGGACAGGTGAATGGGTTGAAGGGAGGATGGATGGATGGACAGGTGAATGGGTTGAAGGGCGGATGGATGGACAGGTGAATGGGTTGAAGGGAGGATGGATGGACAGGTGAATGGGTTGAAGTGCGGATGGATGGACAGGTGAATGGGTTGAAGGGCGGATGGATGGACAGGTGAATGGGTTGAAGGGCGGATGGATGGACAGGCGGATGGGTTGAAGGGCGGATGGATGGAGAGGCGGATGGGTTGAAGGGCGGATGGATGGACAGGTGAATGGGCTGAAGGGCGGATGGATGGACAGGTGAATGGGTTGAAGTGCGGATGGATGGACAGGTGAATGGGTTGAAGGGCGGATGGATGGACAGGTGAATGGGCTGAAGGGCGGATGGATGGACAGGTGAATGGGTTGAAGGGCGGATGGATGGACAGGTGAATGGGTTGAAGGGCGGATGGATGGACAGGTTGGGAGGTTTGAAAAGGACTACAGGATAGATGTCAATTTCTAACTTCTAACTGGTTGAAGGGCTGAAGGGTTGAAGGGCTGATGCCTAGACAGGTGAATGATTAGACAAAACCTGATTAGTTGAGTAGATTGGTTGAATGGATCGGTTGGATGGGCCCTGAGCTGATGATGAGTCTAACAAGCCTCTAAGCACATACAAACACAGTCAATAAATGTAACTATTGCTGAAATAGATGGGTCTTTAGATGGGGTTTAAGGCGGTTCCTGAAGGAGCGCATCTGAGGTGTAGGTGGAGAGAGTTCCATAACACCGCAGCAGACTGCTGTAGTGATCTGGCACCAAGGGTCTTTAACTTGAAGGGAGGTACTTTAAGGAGGAACTTGTCAGCTGAACGAACATTTCTAGAAGGTTGATACACAGAAGTGAGTTGTAATCCTAACCACTGATAAACATTTAATGAAGGAACATACATTTTAAAAGGTGCGTTAAATCTTTTATGGGTCACAATTTGAATATGTGCATAGTAGATCACTTGTAGATTAATTGTGCCACAATGACAGAAACAGTGAAACAAAGTAAACAATTCCGTAAACTGTCGTGATGAAACTTATTCATACAAAAAAATACTACTGCATGTCACTAACATATACCATACAACAATTTCATGTCATGTTTCATCTGTACCTCAGCAGGATATTTAAAAATGTCCCCCATCCTGATGAACGAGTTGAACAACAAGGAGAGATGTTTGAGTATGTGTTTCCTGCCTTGTGTTTGCCTGGAGGCAGAAGCATCTTGAGTTCTACTCCGCCTCTGCTCGGCTCACTGGTCCTGTTTGATGTCTGCTGTGTACGCCTATCAAAGACAGACTCTTGATCTTGTATCTGTCATCCCGACTCTTGGCTCCCATCGGTTAGGATTACAACCTTCAGCTTGTCTGTGTTGATAATAAACAGGGGACTTAGTACCTCCTTGTAGTACCCCTAGCTCTTCCACAGTCTCCGACCAAGCAGTAGCGTCACCTGTTGAAACAATAGTTGTGATCCCTTTAATGTCTCAGTGTGGTCCTTTACAATATCAGTCATCTTGCAGGGTTTGAAATTCCTTTGTGTTAGAGTGCCAGTGGCACTGTTAAGATCCTAATGGCATGGTTACGATAAGCTCCCGTTGCCTGAGGGGCACACTTAGAAATCATATTTTTAACAAATCTACCCTGTGATGATGTCGCACATGTAAACTTGGCAAACCCACGATGAACACATGCAAATGAACAGAATAGTTCACAAAATAAACCTAGGGATCAGAATTGAATTGGGTATTGTCAACCTCAGTTAGAGGGAATGTGCAAACGTGTGTCGCTCTTGGTTAAGATAGCATTCACTTTGTTAGAAGATGGATCAAGAGTATTCTTGTTGGCACACTTAATTTCCAAAGTGCACAACTAAACATCTTTGGGAGTGCCCTGTGGCAGATTTGAAAGTAATACATTTCCATCCTGCCTTTGAAGAGATCCGAGTTATTATGTTTGAAGAGGGTTGGGGAAGGACAGAATTATAAACATAGCAAAACTTTAGTCTTTCTGTCTTTTCCAGCAGATAAGGAAGAACAAAATAGTGAAGTGTGCTGCTGCTTTTATTTCACTTAATTTTGACTCATTGATGAAGTTTGTGGTCCTGAGGCAGAGAAGATAGCCAGTTCCCAATGCTTGTCATTAGAGCTGCCTAATGAGGTGTGGGTGGTTACAATGTGTGGTTGATTGTGTGTCATTGTACCCTGACAACATAGTCACTGCTCATCAACCACTGGTCTGCCTGGACCATCCAGATTCCTGACTGGCTGCTGGGATAGAGCTGTAAGACAGCTGACTACAGTGTGATAAAATGTTCACTTAATTAAGAATTGACTTCAATATATTTGGCCTTTATGGAGGTATAACCACATAGGCTGGTGTGCAAACTGTAAATCTGCGTATTTTATTTTCTAATAAATAGATATGTCAGCAATAAAAACAGAATCCACTTTGAAATCAGTGACACCGTTTAGTGCAATAATGCAATACAAGCCTCGCCCATTCTATTTTTAGGTAATAGTGAAACAATTTGTCTGCTTGCGGGTGTGGCCTAATTTTGTAGTTTATCGAAACATGGATTTCCCTAAAGTGGTTATGTCTAAGACCTGCATCACTTTGGGCTTTCTTCCCACGTCAAGCTGATATGTCATGGTATAACTGGTATAACGTTCAAAGCAGCATATACCCAACTCACTCACTCACTTGTCAGAGTCTTAGTTTTCCTGACTACAAAACATGGGAAGTGTACCTCCTGTATATCTACCAGCGTCCAGTCATCATCGCTGGTTATTATTTTGAGTGTCATGAACACAATTTGGAGAGTCATGCATGGATGGCAAGTTATTGATAACATTAAGTAACATCATGAACATTTTGCGTATTTTTACAATGTTGAATAATTTTTCATACAATTTTTTACCATTGGACGTGTTTGTAGGAACCAGTACTAACTAATAAAAATATGTTGCAGGGGTATTTGGAATAAAAATATGTCAAGAACAAAGTACTGCTGCATTGTGTGAAACCTTGGATACCTTGCTCCAAATACAAATTATTGGAAATAAGATAAAGGGTGCTTTGATGAAAATCTCGTCAAATACACACGATTCTTGCGTAACGTAAAACCCTGGGTATCTTGCTCCAGATGCAAATCATTAGAAATAAGATTAGGAGCATATTCAATGAAATTCACGTCAAATACACACGTCATGTGAAACCATCGTCTACTTTTTGTTGGATTTCAAGTTTATCCTTGATTTAAATTCATCGTTTGTTCATCTAAGTTTAACATAACACATGTAAGCACTTACATCTCTTTACACTGCCAAGGGCTACAACCAGGAACTTGTATATACAGACTGCCAGACGGTGTAACCATAATGAATTTGTGTGCGTTTTATTTCAGAGGTCACAGCAAGTAACGCGATCTCATCCTTGACTCGGTCATTTGTGGCGACAGTAGTGCTTCCTAAGCCCCAAGACCTTCAGATTGTTCCATTGAATGACTCGGACTATCTCCCATCATGCATCCCAGAGGCCTACAGCAACCTTAATGCCATCGCAGCCTTCGTCAACATCACCATCACCTTCGAGGTGTCCGTCTCAGTTGGCACGAACCTCACTTTCATTCTGCAACATGGTAAGAGTGATGGCGGCACATTCCAGGAGTACAGGTCTGCAGCTGACTGTGAAGACTTGCAGTGCCAAGGAATCATCAAGGTGAGACATTGACACACGCTTTCTCTTCTTGCTGTGTGTAACTTTCATACAGAGGATCATGACCTTCACATTCCGCTAGTGGTTTGGTAACCTTAATGTTCAAAACAGTGGAATGAGTAAAGATGTAAATATATTCGAACTGGTACTCAATCTTTTCTCTTCAAAGATTATGAAGAAAAAAGTATGAGAAAATCACATAGAAACAACAGACTCAACTTATTCCCACCACCTTCTGGGTCCCGAAAACCGGAACAAACACGTTCTGCCAGTCCTTTGAGCCAGTTAGTATCAGTCTTCTGAAGCAGCTCAGCTCAGCACGAGCGATATTTATTTGATGTTGTGCATGATCTAGTCTGTATATTAACATTTATTTCTCTTTGGCATGTAATAATGGAATTGAATTTCCTTGGATAATGAAGAACTATGTTATCTTCTAAAGCGTGGGTATTGTTATTTTCTTCAATGGTGGCGGGAAATGAGTGTCCTTCACCATGCAAGTTGAACCTTGGAAGGTGGGTGGAAAGACCTGCTGTTTCCCTGGCTACAATTACAAATCAGGCCACGTTGGTCCCGACGAGAAGTTGGAAAGCGTTCCGCAGAATGACTCCTGATAGTCAAACATGTTTGTATTAAGGAAGTGACTTTGTTCCAAATATGCCTCTGTTCACCCAGCAGTGAATGGATACCTGGTAGGATGAAATGCTGATGTGACTGTTAACATACTAGTGGGCAGGTTGGGTTCTATACTCCCCAGGGAGCTGATAATAAAAATTGAGTGGTCTCTGATCCATTGACCGGGGTAATAATAATACTGCACCGTGAGCTTCCACTTGAATGTAATTGTGCAGTATAAATGGACTTCTTTGGGGGTTAAAAAAGAACATTTAGAAGATTAGGGAATTTTCAGTGGTACAACGAAAACAACTGGAAACTTCAAACTCTCTTTGACTTTTGCAAGTTTTGTTTATTGTTTAATTTACATGCAAGTTCCAAACTAACATCTGTTTTCATCCGGTAATGACTCCGGGAGCCTAGAGCATCATCAAGAAGAATTTGTGTATAAAGGTGTCATATTCGCACCAACCAAACTGAATCACGGTGGCTGTAAACATGGGAGACCATCTACAACTTCCTGTCATGAAATAATCCACACCCAGTAATGAGTGTCAGTACACTTAATGAGTCAAAATATGTTCAGTTTATATGTAGAGAGGTGATGATTCAGCTACCAAGCACCCTCCCAATGTGGCTGGGGTTTGACAAGCTGCATGCACCGTCATCATCATCAGGCCCAAACAAAGGTAACTGTGGCTGCACATCTAAAACTGTTCTCCTTGACAGCAATTTATTTCCTCTTTATTGAAGTAAAATATAAGCTGAATGCCTCCAGGAGCACAATCTTTTAAATATAAATTTCTTTATAAAAAAAATCGCTGAGGATGTTGTTTGTCGGTGCCTAGATTTGATTTTATGCATTGATGTTCCATGTTGGCAATTTGCTGTGCAGAGTTGCATCGCTTAGATGTGCTTGGATCCTAAGATCATAGGTCAAAAGCCAGATTACCTTTATAATAATTCCTTGTTTGCAAGGTGCAAAACATCTTATGATTGCATTACTCTTAGCTCACCTCCTTCAGTAAGCTGAGGATCAAATACCTGAAATACTGTTCAAAGTGGCTTTAAACTTACTCACTCATTCAAGAAATGGGGCTTTCCATGCTAGCCATGTGGCAATGCTCTTTAGGGGGTTCTCACTTCGGGCTTTCCTCCCACATCAAGCTGACACTATGATTATGTAACTGGAATATTGTTCAAAGCAATGCTAAACCCAACTCCCCCACTTACTAATGGGCCTAAGCACAGCTGTTGGGCTGCCATGTCTGTGGTCTTCCTGGTTGTCTTCAGCAACCCATGCTTGCCGTTAAGGCGACTAACGGGATCGGGTGGTCAGGCTCGCTGACTTGGTTGATGCATGTCATCGATCCCTATTGCGTGGATCAATGCTTATGATATCAATCACTGGATTGTCTGGTCCAGACTCGATTATTTACAGACCGCCTTCATATAGATGGAATATTGCTGAATGTGGCATTAAACAACAAACCAATCAACCGACCTGGTTGTCAGCACATGTTACTACAATGTAGAGCACTTTCAGGATATGATGATGGAGCCCAGTGGTCAATATTAAAGCATTGGCTTGTCACGCCTGAAGATCCAGGTTTGTTTCCCCAGAAGGTTACAGTGTGTGAAGCCAATCTTGGTGTCCCCTGACATGACATTGCAGGAATATTTCTAGAAGTGGTGAAAACCAAACTCACTAAACACATGGCGTGTGCAGATCCTCCAATTGTTGGAAGTTTCAAAGTTTGTTTTCATGTGGTCAAGCTTACTTAACCATCCTGTTTTGTGTTGAATGAATTACTAACTCCTAATGAAAATAGCCATCCATTGCTGAGTCTTGGTTTCTGAAGCTGACAGTATGGAATGAAGGCAGCATTTGATGGAGGAGGAAGATGTTGAAGGGCTAGCTCTGTTTTATCATGGGATGTTATTGGTGAGGAAGGAAAAACTTTTATGCAAGTAAATATTTGCAAATTGCTGGAACTTGAGGAAATAAGCTATGCCAATTGCTTCAAAGTGTATTTGTTTTTGTGTGGTTTCAGAAAGGGCAGATGTCACATTGAGGATTTAATGTTGAACTTTGCATTTCAACATAGTACGATTGCAGTGCAGATTGATGGAGATTTGTTGTGCATCATGAAACGACTTAGGAATAATTTGTTGATCCACTGAACTCCAGTAGAATGACAGTACATGTGATTCTTCTATCACTGGTTTGTTCTAGCATTTGAAAGTGGAACATAGGAGGCTGAATGTTCCAGAATTTATTTTTATGTTTTTGGTCATAATTAAACAAATACAAAGATATGACATTTATTACCTATGAGAAGATATCAGGCATTAAATAAAAAAAGTCAAAACTAAGCTAGGATTCAGTCTACAGTGATGCAACAGTGAGTGAGGGAATTCTAGATGAATTCAAAGAAACTGACTCAGTACAGTACCTATCATATATCCTGATTGTGTCAAATGTCACGGTTTCATTGAAGTTCATTATTGAATGACTTGTTACTAGTTTCATTCAATATGTATTGTCAGTGTGATATGGAGACTTCCTATCTGTAACACAACTTTAGTTTGCTAAAAGACAATGTTCTCATGTGGGATTGGACGACATTGTTTGTTGTTTTGTTGTTTATGCTGCACTCAGCAATATTCCAGCTATATGACGGCAATCTGTAAATAATTGAATCTGGACCAGACAATCCATTGATTGACATCATGGGCATACAATTGGGATACAATGACATCACTCGACCACTCGATCCCATTAGTCACCTCTTACGACAAGCGTAGTCACCTTTTATGGCAAGCATGGGTTGCTGAAGACGACTTTCATGGGATGACATTGAAGGTCAGGGTCACTCAGGGTCAGGGTCAGGGTCGCTCAGTGGGTATGCACAACGTCTTTTTATCGGAATGTGATGAAACTTTATATACATGACCTCTAGGCAGTTCATGGCTGAGATTGAAGGTCAAGGTCATGAAACTGGAAGTGCTTCTGACTATTTGTTTTTAAGGTAGCTAGAGGCATAGGACTTGTGTTTCAAAGTTGTAATATGTCATTGGACATATGTCAGGTGAACTGTCACCTGATGAGGGGAGGTCAAGATTGTTCATGATACATGTTTCCGGAAATCGTGTTGATGGGGCTGTTTCTGTTATTGCATGCAGTGCAGACACCTTTCCAGCTTAGTCTGCCCTGGAAACTAGTGGGGACTCGAAGTTAGACTCTTGGCCCGAGCAATCTATACTAGTAAGAGGAAACTAATGGATGTGGTCAGGCTCTGACTATGATTGCATGTCATCATATACCAATTGCGTGGATCGATGTCAATCACTGGATTGTCTGGCCAAGACTGGATTATTTACAGCTCAACGTCATATGGTTGGAATATTGCTAGTTCAAAATTAAAGAGCAAACAAACAAATCTGTTGTACTAAGACCCTATGCAGGCTCAGAAACCCAACTTTCAAGGTTGATTTGTTCTTATATACAGCACGCATGAGTATCTTCAGATACAGTGTGGGTAGATCCAACTTGCAAAGAGTGATTGCAGATGATTTCTTACACCTTCAGGCATGTTAAAAATACTGGTGGATGTTTATGGTTTTGACAACTGTAGGAAAGTGTCTCCTAGTTTCATTCATACGTCCTTTTGTGCATAGTGGAACATGTCTCATACGTGGGGAAAAATGGTCATCACCCCTTTCTCTTCTGAATCAGTTTGTCTAATGTTAATGGTATCTGGGATTTTGTAGAATTTCAGGCTTTTTGTGGCATTTGGGTGGTGGGCTGATTGGATATCACTGTTTGGGCTTGTAAATATTGTGTGATATTTTAGGGTTGTTCTTGTATGATATCACTACTTGGACAAGTAAATATTTCCCCTCTGTCATATGGGATTATTCTCATAAGCCGTGTTTATATTCCTGCTGTGAGTGACAGGCATGTCAAAGCTGATTTGAGGAATGTCACTATCATCACACAGTCTGGTAAATGAACCCTCCATGGTGTGTACAAGGACAGGTTGTATAGTACTGTCCTGTTCAGCTGGGAGGGGAACGGCAGGTTAGTGGTTCATGTGGACATGTCCATTTCTCCCTCAGTGTTGGCGTCTATGGACAATATTGTCACCACCTGTGACGTCAGTGGATCTAGACCACAGGATAGTCACACAGGATACTAAGTGGTTCTGAATATAGATGGTGTTGTCATAGGATTGTTGGTTTGAGGATGTAACCAGAGTAATGGTGTAGACTACATTGTCCACTTGATGGACACACCTCATGCGGTCAACCCAAGGTCAAGGTTCCCTTCTTCATGGGGACAGTGAGTATTTAGAATGTTCAGGATTCATTGACTGTTGATAGAT